TAATCGAGCAGTCAAACCAAACAGTCGTCTTTGTTTTACTCTGAACAGACTGCATAACATTCTCATGGATAATAAATAAGCAATTTGATATTTCCGTTTCGTGCTATTTTGATTGATTCCGTGCGAGAAACATCATTGTACACAAAATATAGTCATCATCGAAAAAAAAACAAACAAACAAAATGATATTACAAAAAAGTAGAAAAATGATTTCCGATTTCATCGGCAAAACAGAAATAATCGTACGCTGTATGTATTGACAAAATTAGAAGCGCTACATATGTGTGACTCGATATGCTATGAAATTGACACAAATAAACGTTTGTTAAAAATAATCAGTAGACTGAAGACAAAAATAGTTTGTCTTTGATTTTTGCGCAATCTGTTTGTTATTTATTAAATTTATATCCAGCTTTCATTAAATGGATTATATTTACGATAACACATAAAAAATGTTATCAATTTGGTTCTTTGCACAGCGTTTTTGCTTCTTGTGTAATTTGACCAAGGTAAATAAAATGTGAAACTCGCATAGACGTACGCTCCATTTGAGTTCGATTGAGTAATTAAATTTCGGAAAATACTGCCATTGAAATGGTCAATAAATATTTTGTGCACATTTTCTTTCATCCTCTTACATTGAATTGACGTCATTGTAACAGCTATTCAACAGATACAAACATTTTTCTTTGTTTCACAAATATTACAAATATTGCATTAATATTGATTCGATGCATTCAACTGATTTGTCAATTTGTGAAAGGCTTCTCAAATAAATACGTGCAATTGACAGAAAATAAGAGAAATTACCAACATTGAAACCAATGCACCATTTGATTGATGTCATGAAAAAGAAAAAAACAACGAGAAAATGCTTCACGTGATAATCAAGTTTAATAGAAATTCAATATTGCGTTAAATTGAATGAATATTTAAAACTTGCATCATCATTTATGTTGCATAAATTGTATGTATGAAAATATTACATTTCATATTATGTACAGAAAAAGTCACGTTTGATGTTACGGTATCAGGCTAATTTCTGGGAAATCAATTTAATCGGACAAATAAAGTGACTTCAGTAGAAATTTGCCTGTACAACATTTTGATTAAAAAAACAACGGTCCATTCGATAACATTATGAGTGATTCGGTTCGCATGACTATAGATGTTGAAATGACATGATTTTTCAATCAAATCAAAACATGCAACTAACGGACAACCGAAATGGTGATGACACCAATATGAAAATGCATATGTGAACAGAATTGTAACACTGCAAACTAACAGTTACCAACTGGATAAAATGAATTTTCGGAATCTCGTTCATTTTAATCTTCGTCGATGCATGTGAATGATGTTGATGGTATCAGTGGATAATAGAAAAATGAAATAATAAACCTCTTTTTTCATGAGTTTGACAGTTTATTTTTTTGCACACAAACAAATATGGTTTGGTTTGGTTCCTCATCTCTGTTCCTGTCTCGGAGCTTAAATTTGCATGCGCATAACAAAATAAATTTTATTCTGAAGCGAAAGGTAGTCGGTTTCATTCTGTTTTTGTTTTTTTGAGTATGAAACTCATTCGTTGATTTTTTGAAGTGCACAAATTTTATGATGGATTCGATTTCAACGGTTTCAACACAAAGCCAAAAAAACATGTCACGTTTTTGCTATACAGTTGATAAAGTTCATGACTCAATTTAAAACTTTTTTTCTCGTCTTTTTGCTCAAATTTATTATTAATGTGGGAAAACATATATTCGTTCACGTATGGATCCGTTATTTGTTCTTCTTCTGCTGTGCAATCGAACCATTGTCAACTAAACTGAACCCACGTTCAACATATGGTTCTGCAAGAAATATAACGAAAGTGGTTATGTTTAAAATGCTACATAAACAGTGACGATTTTTTGTTCTATCGCCCCATAAATTTAATTACAGCTTGAATATTTTTTTCAGTTTTAGTTTAATTCATTTCAACTTTATGAATATGAATGTGGCCAACATTTGGTTTTACCATCTATATTCGCTACCGTATGCATTTTATTTATGATATAACTTCTGCAGTAGTGGAATCGAACGAAACGTCTATATATGTTCAGTATTGGGAAACTTTACTGTTTATTTAATATTATATAAATGAAAACCAATTCAATTAACCGGAAAAAATTATTTTGAGTCAGAATATGAATATATATAAGTTGTTGTTGACATGAATGAAATAATATGAATAAATAAAGCACTTTCAACCGTATTTATCAATATTTTATTGCAGCCAAAATAAATAAAGGAAAATATTATAGTATAATGTGGTTATCCATCAATCTAGTTTTGCTATAGCAACTAAAGTTTCTTCTAGTACGTGAAGTTAATTCTCTTGGTTTTTTATGTAAAAATTGTACCCACATTTGTGTGAAGTTGGCTTCGTCATGTGCCAATTTTTAATAACCCCTTGGTTATTCATATTGTAAAGTAGTTAAAGCTTAATTTATTAAACTCATAATTTCATTATGAGTCTCAACTTTGTCAAAAATGTGATTTATACAGCCCATGCATTTGGTGAATGTAATAAAGCAGTTGGTAAAAATTGATTCAACAAATAATCTCAAAAATAGTCTTGTTTAGTCAAAATGGAACAGTCCCTGTCTTAAACAGAATATGAAGCGAAAAACATTACATATTCGTTTAAAAATGTTTTTATTTACACACAAAGAAATCATACAATGAAAACTATATGGCTTGTCGTATAAAATTCAGAACTAGTTGACACTCCGTATAAAAATGTATTTTTCCTTCTAATTTCATACAAAATATCGTTTTTGTGTATTCTCTTTTATTCGGATCTTCTTCAAAGCATAAACGAAGAAGAACCGCACCGGAGTGTCAACTAGTTCATTGTATTACTTCTCTGTGTGTAGATTGGTACTCAATTAGAGTGGATAGTTGATTTATTAAAAATTACTCTTACTCGTTTCCAACATGGGTAACTCCATTATTATCACCACGAATATAATAATATAATAATCAAATGAACTGTTTATCCTGGCGAATTTTAGTAATTGCGAATGAATTTTTTTCTCAGAACCCCAACTGATTTCTTTTTTTAAAAAAGTTCGGGAATTTGAAGCGAATAAATTTGCATACATTTACACGAAACGTTTAGACAAAAATTGTGCATATTTTCATAGAATTTCGATCCACGTGCCATTTATATGCATTAGAGCATTGGATGCGTGCAATGTTTAGTGTAAAGCTTGAATTATTGAATATACGTTTTAATAACATAGTCAATAAAGTAATCACACAAAATCAATCATCGAATACTTGTTGAGAATTTCTATGTTCAGTCACAATGTTCTATGTCTTTCTCTCTGCCATCAAACTCACAGCATCACCAAGAACGGAAAGTTTAAATTATGGGATGCATTAAATAGAAAGCAATCTGTCTACCAATTTTCTTTGCAATTTCTCGTGCATGGCCTTGCATCGACGGCACATGTATGCAGCGCACAAACTTCCATTTTCAAACCATTTCATTTTTCATAAATTCGCAGCATATGTCCATATTGTAAAAACATCATGTCGAATATTATTGGGGTGCATATGTCTGGAATCAATTTCGATTATTCATTTACACCAGCAACGTTGGTGAGAAAGAAAGAAAAGCACACACACACAAAAATTGAAGAAAGGATAACATGCATGGCATACCAAGAAAACTCATTCAAATTGGTTATGACGTTTGAGTTATTTGATGTAGTATGCTCGAGATTACAAATTGATGCAATATTCATTTTGAATGAAACACAAGCGCCGCAAAAAAAATGTAGATTACTATAAAATTGAACATACATATAAGAAAATCTTGCTTTTTGCGACGATGGATAGTGTGGAATTCATGCAAACAATTCCAGCGATGGAATGACGATTATAAAAGAAAAGAAACCACGGAAAAATATCTTAAGATGAAAATAAGTAAATGCAAATTGAGAATGGTTTCTCACACATTTCGATATCGTTCGAAAAGTGTGCGCCAAAGGAACATGGGTAGTTTCACTCACTATATCTGTAGCACAACCGTATACATCCAATATAAATCGTTCGGCGAGACGTTCAAGAGGCAATCGCACGTTATGTAAAATCCAATGGAAAAGTTGAAAATGTGTGCAGTTAGAAAGAGAAAATGGAAAAAAGCTCTAACTCTCACTCGGCAAATATCAACACGATCAATCAAAATTCAATAGAAGAACAACTATAAATCAAGCGATTTTTTGCCGTGGCCTGACTACGAATAGACTCTTTTCTCTTTTTCGTTTTGTTCACATATAATTTTTTTGCTATGTATGATTTTTTTCACTGCTGACTTTTTTCTATTCTCCATGTCTCCGAAGGAGCTTGATGTAGTCGCTTTCTCGGCGATATGCATCGAAATATACATAGATAGATCGAATTGCGAACAATATCGTAAATCATAGTTTTATGAATCGACATGACGACAAAAAAAAATTGAAAACTTTCTATGTGATATATAGAATATCATGGAAAAAAATTGGTCGCTCGATCCAGAGCATGGAAAATGAATGCTGCTACGAAAAAGAGGCAACAAAAAACATGCATGGCTGGTACCATTGGCAGAATTCTGCTATATATTCAAAAATCAATTTTACCTTTAAAAACAAATTATTTAATGCATTTAAGTTGCACATCGATGAGAAATAAAAGAGACTATAATCAAATTCCATGAAATTAAAATGAATATAAACATACGTTCTTTTATCTCTCATCAATGGATAAATGCAAGCGCAACGACATACTAATAAATCTATTCTTTTCATTCTTGCTTCTCTCTTTTTCTCTTGCTGCGTATGTTTGTTCGTGGATCTTTGCTGGGGGTGGCGACGAATAGCGTTAAAACTGATTTACATACAGGTAAAAGTCTAAGAGAAATTTAAAAAAAGATGAAATTTCATATATGTATTTACTCACTATATCAGGCAAAGCTGTCAGCCGATTATACATAGCGAATGCGAATCGACACGATTCCGGGAACTATTCCTGTGTCCTCTCCGACTTTGCTAAAGTCACGGTGGTGGTTCATGTGCTCAACGGTAAGTTTACACATTTCCCTTTTCGATCCATATAGATTTCCGTTCCTTGCGCGCGCTTTTTTTGCCCTATATATTTTTGTGTTAGCGTTTTTGTACACACATAAAAGAATTTTAAAAATATTTTGCATGGTGCCAAGCTTTTGGCAATAATCTAAATCAATACGCGATTACATTTTGTATATAAATTTAGTACGGGTCTTTCTACCACGCTCTCTCTATCTCTGATATATGAATGGCAAATATTTGATTTGGTTGTTTCGGGAATTCATGTTTTATCTGGTGTATGTGTTTTCCGGCTTTTCGGTATGGAAAATTAATTTTCAATTAAAATTCGAATGTGTGTTTGCGTTGAGATAACAAAATGTAAAAAAAAATCGTACGTTTTTTTTCTCTCTCTGTTGCTGAGAGTTCATTGTAAGTTTTACGATTCTTTGAAAGTGAGACGGAGTCAGAAGTTTGGTGTGCTGAAATAGAAGACATTAAAATAAATTGATATTCTTGGGTCATTAGCTTTTGTAAACGATGTAAATTGAAAACTTTTGTTTGACCATTCCGTTACGAAATAAAACAATGAAATTGATTCATCCGCCCAAGATCGACTTGAACGAAATGACAGAGAGATAAAACAAAATCTCTGCAAGATTAATAATTTGAAATTTAAATCGATAAAAATCGATTCTATCTCTTCAACTATCAAACTTCTGCTCTTGTATTATCTCAAAACTGGAGCGTATCAGTAGATAGAAAATCTGTTCATCATAACAAATAACCTGAATTGAATCTCTGTGGAAGTCGATTAATTTACATAAAGTGTGATTCAATCGATATGCCTTATGGCTAAAATTGCATAGCAAATCATGGCATAGAATGTTAAGCACATTGGCCATCTCAATTGTAAATCCAACATCGAAATTTCGATAGTCTTACATACAAATCGTGAAAACGATAATCGATTGTTTTGAAGCAGCGTGAAACTTTGTCATTCAAGCAGTATTTCACCCAGGTGCAGTAAGTTTCCATGTTTTATGATGCGTGACAATGTTAATGTAACTGTAACATCACCTTGAAGCGGTCAATACACATTCTTCTCTCAAAATTCATTCTATTCTCTATTCATATAGTTCAATTGTACGCAATTTATCCAATGTTTGATATACATAACAGTTCAAAATGAACGATTCATTGTGATGCTCACATCATTGTCGTCATTATTTATCCCTTTTCTCGTAAAATACGCAACTTCCAATTTATGCGAATAACAATGGTCGATCGCATTCAGTGCACAGAAGCTATGGAGAAGTATAATTACAGTCATTTAATTTTATAATGGCACGATATTAGTAAACCATTTCATTTACGAGAAAATGGCCAGCTCTACATTTGTTGCGTTAGCCATCGTACATGTCAAGTGTATGTACGTTTTCTATCTCGTGCAGGACTTACATCAATTAAATTGCCGCCATTAGCTGTGTGTATGTGTGTCGCTCTTTGAAATTCACAGTTGGTTAAACGAAGCAATTTGAAACAGTTCAGTGCGTATCGCCTCACAGGAAATGATGGAAAAATGTTGATATCCAAACTATGTGTACATAAATACGAAAACGGTCGCTCAATACGAAATGGACGATTACACCGTTTATAAAATACAACTTATATATACACACACACACACACACATTACATCTCTTGCGGTTATAGTTCCACTGTTATCATTTACTTCGTGAAAATTTATGAACCGAATTACATTTTCACCAAACAATGCCTTACAAATGCATTTGTAATGTAAGAATTCCGATGTGCAGTTTGCACTTATGCATTTTGGTTTTTGGGGAGCAACCTGAAGGCATGCAAGGATATACACAGGTGCTAGCATTACATACGCAAACATCACTGCCACAAATTGAAAATTATTTATTTGGCCATCAGTGCCAGTAGAATGTGTGCTCTGAACTTTATTCAATGCCAAAAGTTGTAAACTAACTTTAAATGGGTGCTTTTCTATCGACCTCAATTGGCCCTCTATTGAGATAAAGTACACTCACTAAATCCTATTTGTAAAACGAAACGACCAAACGATCGCCCATTTTCCGGGTGCGTTTCTCATTAATTCAAGCAGAAAACGAAGTTTGAATTCTCTCAGCACCGCACAAAGTGTTAATCCGGTGATAATAATTCTGAAATTTTATCTTGATTAAGTTAAAGCCGACCAATGATATATGATTGTGAACTTTGTTTGTCACGAAATGGGAGTGATTTCTTCAGGCGTTTCTATATATTTCGACAAAAGATGAGAAGTGTGTAAAAGAAAGAAAGTTAAAGCGAGAGAGGGAGAGAGAGAAGGACGCGAGAATCAGAGATATGAAATCGGGCGCCAGAATGTGGCAAATGCAGTGAAGAGAACAAAAGTGTGTGTTTCGGTGTGCGTATCGATTATTTCATGAGAACAATTCATTAAAAGTCGAAAAGTTTGTCACAAAATACGAAATAGCTAGATGCGACAAAAGTACCCATTACATATAATGCTCATCGTCGTTCTTGACTTTTGTTTACTCTTTTTGATCCATTCGATTGTTTGACCTAAAAATTTCTATATATATTTCTCGTCGGCACACTACACTGGATGGCCTTATGCATTATGTTACACAATTAGCTAAAATTGCCATACCACGAATTCTGAATGTGTCGAACTGTGTACAGGAGACACTTAAATCACTGACCTAGATTATTCACGTGAATGCATTTCATGCGTACGGATTTTATTGGAGAATAAAACAGTCGACATTAACGAAAATTTGTGCCTGCACATATACAAAACGCTCACTGGATTGCCCTTTTTCATTTGCAATAAATTTCATGTTATTTCTTATTCGATTCAAGTTAAACTCTCGCATTCAATGGTCGTTCACACACAAAACTCTCACATCTCACATTCCTTTTGTTTCTATCCTTACTGTTTCAATATTGATATGGGATTTGTGCTGGGTGACATTTTCGGTGAATTAATTGCCTATTAGTCGTTATTGACTTCAGCTCATTTCATGTGAACATGGGCAAATATCAAAAAGAACGATTTTTTGTTCTTTTTCTTCAAATGTTTCCACACATTTTACCAATTAAATAGTGAACGTACCAATTAATTTAAGTGTTGCCCATCTTTTTTCGACACCCCATCCAAAATGCCATCAAAGGTGTTTAAGTATGCATACATCAAGTAGATGGACAAGTGTTATAACCTATTGCGGAGTACATAATTTATAATGTGTCGCATTGTTGTATACAATGTACATGCCGAGTCTTTATTCAAATCACTTTCTCGCCCACCCATACACACCGATTGATTTATACGGCTTAATAATAAAACGTATCGCATTTGTTTGATGCGATCGCCTGCACAAATCGATTTCGGAATTGGCGTCATTTCTCAAACCCTTTTCAACGGAAAGCGAATGTATAAAACCGGGTGTGCGCGCACACCAATGATTATTATTATCATCATTATTTTGGTAAAAGACACCAAAGTAGTCAGGTCATCATGATTCATGAATCATGATATCTTAACCTCATGTAGGCGTGAAGTGTAATTTCAAAATTTATGCGTGTAATCATATTCATTGCAAGCAACACATTAATTAAACACGAGAGAACAAATTGATAGATTGCCGCATCGGCACTACTGCTACGAACATAAAGACGATACTATATTTCGAACAAAAGACTACGACTGAAACTTTTTCAATTACAAACACAAACAACCAATTTCACCTTTTGACATTCCTTTTCGAGGCAGCGAAAATAAACAAGAAACTTTAATTAGAATTTTATTGCCACGAAAAAAAAAATGAAATCAAATGAGAAAAAAATCAAAGAATAATTTACGAAAGCTTTTATGTCAGACCATTTGATTACCTTGAAAGATGCATGGCAAAGGACGCGCATTAAGAAAGAAATAAAAAAGAATATAAAAGGACTTATTAATGCCAGAGCGCAGTATAAGTGCAGAACAAAACCGCTTCGAGATTCATCGACTTACCAATAAAACCAGATTGGTATGGCATTTTATTTGGCTGGTAAAATCGACAAGACAGTGAGAATTAAAAAATTCCAGCCAGGCGTAATTAATTATAGTCAATGTAAACGAACGAGAGATATGGAAAATCGCACACGATTCGAAAACAGTGATTAAATACGGATAAGATTTCTTTTTTTCGTTTCTCTCGACGATTTTCTAAATATTTGGATATGGTGTATTTTAGCGATTCATTCGGAATTCCAATCTTTAAACGAAATTGGCTCGAATCGCAATTAGTATCCATTAATTTCGTGTGTTTACTCAGGAATGTTGGATTTTTTTCTTCTGTTCTTTCGACGAATCAGAGAGTGATATAAATGCCACGCGATGTGAAAGAAACAAACGCTGGTCATTATGGAGTCTTTGTACGATCAATGAAGTGCGAGATATAAAAATCGATGATTTTGACTCTTGTAAAAGATGAAATTAGAGAAACGGCTTGATTTGACTGTTTTTGAGACAAAAAAGACACGAATCGCGTTATTCCTTGTTACCGTAGATATGCAAAGGTTTTCATTTGAATTTAAACATCTGCTTAGATTGATTGCACTTAATTGTTTGGTGATTTCTTTTTGGGGGTTGAGAAACGATTAAACAGAACAAAAATCAACAAATGTTAACGCATTTTGGCCAAAATCAAAAGAGAAAAACAGAGAGTAGGGGAGAAAAGAAGAGATGAATCAAAGTCGTCCTAAAATTCAAATTCCTCAAGTCAAAACACCGAAAGTCAACAAATCTATAATAGGTATCACTGGTTGGATATGGAACGTTATAATTGTGGTGGTTTGAAAATAAATTTGAAATCGTACTGTAAATGAATGGTTGGGCCAGGTAAAAAAAAACATCATTTCGAGTACAAATCGAATTTTTCAAATTCAAGTATGTATTCTCTCTAGTGGTGAACCGCAAACAATCAAAATACAATCCCATTGAATTGTATAATTCGAAATTTAAAATAAAATAAATTAATTGGTGTTAGTTAGATCTGTGATACATGCATTTGTTCACATTCTCAGCTTTTTTGCGCAAATTCGTCCAGGGTGCGGTTTATGTATAGGTGAAATTGGGTGTTAGCATGGACTTAGTTCTTAAATTGAAAAAGAAAACCGCTATGAAACTGGAAAAAAGCTCTCAAACATACGAGACAATGATTTTTTTCTTTGATTGAAAATACACTTCTACTAATTCCACATTTTTTCTGCTCTTATTCTCTTTTCATGCCCGTTACGGACCAAAAATGGAAAAAAAAAACAAACCACATGATTACGAAAAAAAAACCGCCACAAAACTACAGGCGAGAATCCAGCAGCGATGCAGCACGCAAGCAGTAACCGATGTTCACCAATTGATTGGGTACATTTATTCAACCTAATTGCAACGATTTTCTACTTTTTACGGTGACTGTAATTGGCCTGATTCCTCTAAGCACTCTCACACACACAATTATAGGAAGAAAAAAAGAGACTGCATTGATGAAGGTAAACGAATAAAGCCCGAGCGAATCAAACTTGAAACATTTGTCAAGGGAAGGCATCGTCATTTAAGCGTACGACATTAATATTGTCTAAATGTAAGGCAGTATTAAAGTGAAATAAAGCGGAAAAAAATTGCAGCCCATTGAAATTGGGCAGCCGACAAACGTTTCTATATATATATATACTCTCTAATGCCATCGTTCTACTTGCTTCACCATGTATATAAGCGGATAGGATGTTCGCATTAGAAACAGACACGAAATTATTTAGCAGTAACCAAACAACCGTAATCGTCTTTATGTATGTGTATGTTTGCGACAGGGAAAAAGGGATGGGAAATATTCAACCAAATCAAAATCAAATCAAGCTGAAATTGAAGGAAGTCGAAATAAACTACCACATTTCAATTGTTAATCCCATTTTCTTTCATTCGTTTCTCTTCTTTTGTGTCTGTATTTACTTCGAAATATTAGCAATTGTCTACGATGTGATCTATTTTTTTAGACAGTTGGCAAGATTATGACTTGTGGATACAATGCGACATCATTTCAAAATAAAAAAAGGGAAAAATTCGCACAAATGTTTTTATCGCATGTCATACTTGATACTTGACATTCTGTAAATGAAAACCGTTTCGATTAAATTGGATATGCCCGTTGATATTGACATTTGTGTGGGATTTTTATATAATATGGCATTAAAACTATCAAATAAGAATCAAAAAGACAATTTTAAAAAAAACTTAAGATAATACCCATTGCTCAACACAATGCATGGCATTTCATTCATACATATTTTGAATATGTTTTGTAAAGAGGAGTATAAAAGAAGAAGAAACAAAAAAAAGTGTGGAAAATTCATCGAATTGAAACCTTTCTTAACTTCATATGGTTCGAATTTTTCGTTTGGAACTATTTTAAATCAATGAATTTAGGATTAAGAGAGAAATCACAGCGCTTGACAGAGCCTAATTTTAAGAGAATATGGTTTAATTCAAATCAAAATATGTGTAATATTGGAATTAATTTATTCAAAATTAAAAATGACAACGATAAGAACATAAAATAAAAAATGGCTTAAAAAAATATTTCATCACACTTATTCTAGCCAAAAAAAAAGTTTATAGTAAAATGAAAAGTAACTAAATGTATTATGTATATACTTGACTTGGAATTTTAATAATGGTTCTCAGTATGATGTGAAATTAAGATATATTAGGAATGATTTAAAAAGGAAATTACAAATTCATCGACCTACACTGTTTTAAATTGGAGGAGTGCATACAATGTTGCTAGCTAGCCATTTATATCAGCTATTGCTATAGCGATATAAAAATAGCTGCTATTTAACGTATCTCTTCGCTCGGACGCTGTGTATGCTGGACATAACAATGGTCTTATTGTTTGAAATGTTTAACATTTTAAATCATTTCAAAACAATGACACCATTGTTATGTCGAGTATACGCAGCGTCAGAGCGAAGAGATGCGTTAAATAGCAGCTACTTTTATATCGCTATAGCAATAGATGATATAAATGGCTAGCTAGCAACATTGTATGGAAGAATGTATGCATTCTATATCCGATTGTGAAAATAGTAGTTGAGTGATACAGCTTGACAAATACCCCGGCTTGACACATTTGAAATATGACATTTTCGATACATAAAATAAATACGCGTATATGTGAAACTTATTTATTGAATTACATATATTAACGTAAATGATACTGCATATAATGTTGTTATACTAATTAACGTTTGCTGTTAATGAGCATGATTCAGTACAAATATTGTTATATATTGTAAATTACAAATTTATAATCAATATTTGTAATAAATTGTTCTCATTATCCGCAAATAAAATGAAACACACACAAAAATACACTAGAATTAAAGTTTGTCAACAAAAAAGCATGATATGAATGGTAATGAAATTTATTTGTTCAAACTGACACAATGACATAATTAGATGACAACTAGAAACCTAATAATTTATGTAATAGATATCATGAATGTCCTATTTAAATATTTAAACAAAAAAAAAAAGAAGTAAGAAAAAGTTCATAAATACCCAACTTATTCATGATACTAATTAAAATAAGAATGTACAATGAAGAAAAGAATTACTATATGACGATTGTTTGCTGAAAAATTCACGAAAAAAAAGTGTGAAAGCATCGACATTATTGACTTCAAACTATACGAAACATGCATATTCATCCCATACTTTAGCAAAAAAAAAATAATAATAAAATAAAATATATCATATCTATTCCAGAAAAAGAACAAGTTTTCACCAAGTAATATATCGAATACTTCTTTTTATTCAGACTTTAACTCAGAACTGTGCCAACTCGTCTGAAAATTCGGGCAGCTGAGCGTGAGTTGCGTGTGGCAACATAGCAACGTTCATTCATTGCTTTTGTAAGACAGCGTAACATTGAAAGAGAAGCTCTTTCGCTGACATACATACTCAATGAAGGAATAACATTATTCTGCCGCATGAAACGCACACACCCATTTTCATTTGAATTTAATTTTTAAGCTTCGCTTCTTTGGCCACATTCACATTCATTGAGATCGCAAAATAGAAGAGTTCATTTCATACCGCACGGGTACTGAAATGCTGGTTTCATTTAAGATTTACTGTTTATGTCACACATGATTATCGATCATGATATATATTCAGTGGAAGCGTTAAAAAATTAAATGTATTACTATCGTGTTGAAAATGTTAACTTGACATACGTAAAAAAATTATTGATATTCAAACAGGGAGCGAAGGTCATCAAATTCTTAAACAGGCATTTCAGTACCATTTAGTGTAATATCCGATTCCATACAAAATCCGAAACAATCTTAAACTGGCAACGACAACACACATTTTAACCATAGTTTTATAGTCCGCATTCTATTTACCCAATTCGATATCTGTTGACTTATGTATCATCGGTGAAAATAACACATGTAGAAATACCGAAACAGTAAATTTGTCGCTTATTTATATTTGTAAGCATTTGAAAAATCCAATCGACAAATATGATTGTTGCATATATATCCCATTTGGTGAGAGCATACGTCTAAGAAATGATGGGATAAAGGCAAAGGTAAAAAAAAACATACAGTAACTTATAATAAAACTCGACTATTTATGCAGAATCAAACTCAATTCAATGGAAACACATATACTATAAAACTTGCAAATGTTTGCACGAAATACGATAAGTCAGTTTATAATCAAAACCATTAACGATTAAAATCGTTGATGTGTGCGCTATTCAACAACAAGAACATATACTCGTAGATTATATTCATATATTATTTCTATTGATTAACTGAAAGGAAAGAAATTGTGCTTAAGCTCTCATCTTGTCCCTGTTTAAGAAACATTTTTCGGTTACACTTAACTTCAAAGATACTCTTCTCCTTGGTCTCTTTCATTTCCCAATTGTTCACATTCCTCAAAGTAATTTGCAAAAAATTGATCAACTTTTCTTGCTACTGCGCAATTTAAACGATTGCATAATGAACTATTTTTTAAAAAAATGAAAACATTTTTGTTTTTACTTAAAGTAAGGTTTATGTGAATAAATTCTGGAATAATGAAGTATTTAAAAATAAATAAAAGTAAAAATAAAGTAAATAAACATGGTTTTTATTGCATTTTAAAAGAAGAAAATAGATTTTATTTCAGGTTTCAACAGTGGCGTGGTAAGTAAAATGAAAAATATGCACGTCAAAGTGCAACAGAAAAATCTGCCATTAATGGTCTTAGTAAAGCCAAAGAGAATTTTTCAGCTTCATTAATAAAGCTTTTGAACCCCGAAAAGTTGATGTACTAATCTCTTTTGAACACCAAGTAACATTGTTATTAAAGAATATTTAAACCAAGTGGAGAAAATTTACAACGACAAACATGAAAAAATTGGAACAAAATTTCATTTTTAGACATCATATTCTATTGAAATGCAAAAAAAAGCTTACTTCGCTAAGAAGATAGCGCTGAATAATGCGATTATATTTTTATCAGAAAATGTAATAATAAAATTATACTATGAGTTTTCCTCAAAAAAAAATCATTGAAACTTTTTGTTAAAGACAACGATATAGTTTTAAATCCCCTGACTCAAAAGAATAGATGTGAACATTTTTTGCGCATTGGCTGGATTCATACGTAACACACGATATATCGAGTACATGTTGAATAAATTAAATTCGACCTTACGGAACGAAAAAAAAAACCGTACATGTGAAATTGGGACAACGGTACACCGCTGTACGGTTTGCACCGAATGGTAACAAATTTTGAATTTTCCCATGTACATTTGGGTACAATTTGTTTTTGTTTTCAAACAAATAAATAAAAAAATACATTGTGTACCATTCAATTGAACAAATAAACACTAAACAAACAATGCAGGGGCAAAAAAAACACCAGAATTCCAAAACAATCGCAATTGATGTTCATAGATTTTTATTGAATCGAACACAGAAGTACACTCATAAAACAGTGGTTTTCATGTTCATGTTGCGTGTATGCTTCACCATATCCGCTTCGGTTGTATAGTTTGTTTTAGCGGAATTTTTCTCATGATAAATTATGAATATTGTTGCTGTTTTGACCAACGAACGTGAAAGAAGCATTGGAAATATGCTGCGGCGTTTTTTTACGTTTCTCTTTCTTTTTTTTATGCCGGTTCATTAGGATTTAGTGCGGAAATCGTTGTACATAAAAATCGGTCCAATTAATTTTTAATCGATTTTCAGTGTTGCCACTGATTCACTTCGAGATTACCGGGAGAAAAAAAACACATAGCATGTTCATTGCACACTGGAGAACAGACAAATGACCATGTTTTTTTCTCCAACAGTACAATTTACTGCTGTTGTTCATTTGCAATTTTACAAAAAAAGATTCACTTTTCAAAATGTCATTTTCGGAAATAAATTTTGTCTGCAAGCTATACTTTTTCGGGGCTCGTTAAATCCGATTTAAAAAGTCATTTATTGTAATAAAATTTAATGGTTGAATGCAAAAACAATATTCGTTTAATGAACTTTATTCCGACATGGTTTTCAATATAATTGAATTTCTTTGATCTTCATTTCGGATACATTTGACAAATGAAAAATATTCAAAGTATGTCTTTGACATCAATAAAAATCAGTAATTAGGAGACGAAATTCAAGCCGCCTCAAAAATGACAAACAATCATAATTATTTAAATTATCTATTAATGAAATTGTGTAAAGTTGTTGATGGTTTATTTACGTAAAAAAAAGGGGGGGCGGCAATGTTTGCAGGTTGAAAATTGTGATGTGTGCATAAATTGGTGTTAATGACATTTTTCGGCCTAGACTTTAAGTCGATTTAATTTACACACGCTGGAATATGGCAAACGTTTTCGAGATTTCTGCTTGAAATAAATCCAGTTGCAGAGAAGCAAACAAACAAATATAAAACACGTTACAAGGCGTTCGTTATAATTTTCTCTCATTTACTAAATTAAATGGAAAATCAAAAAGTTTTCCATTTTATTGCACAACAGCATGCCATGATTCAAATAATGACAGAAGCAATTTATATTGTCTCAAAAGCCATTCTTCTCTTACGAGGTACGAGAGAAAAGTGTTGGGAGAGAGAGAGAGTGTGTGTGGTAGTGTCTGTGCACAATTTGAACACATAAAATGCTTTGGTTTTGTGTACAAGATTTTCATAAACAAAAGTCGACAATAGCTGAAGAAGTCGTTTCGAGATTGAAACTCTCGCCCTCATTCTTTTCATTAATTACTTTTTCTTAAAGTTAATATCGGAGCATGCACACGTTTTGCACCTACAAACTGGAGAAATATATATAAGTAATGTTGCATGCATTGTCGCGAGAGTGTGAAGCAAATGTACTTGAAACGGCAAATACCAGAAAATTGTGTTTAAACAACACCTCGCAACGGTGCAATACAAAGTTTTCGAAAACATATACTCTCTTCATCATTCTCTTTTGCATCTTTCGCTCTTTTGCGCAGATAAATCTTATCTCATCGCATTCAAATTGTGTATGAATATTTTCATGAGCTCGATCGCGCATCCGTTTCGAACATGCACGTAAACAACGATACAAAAATACAATGCGCAAATGTATAACAATGGAAATATTCGTGTTGTTTAAAAAAAAAAAAAAACTTTTTGTTCGCTACTTGAGCTATGGTGATAATTCGAAATTTTGTGTGCGACTGTATTTAAAGTGATTTCCATGGAATTTTCGATATCGTATTCTTTCAACAGCGATGTTCACTTCGGCATTTTTCTACCCGTGCAAATCTTTGAAGGAAAAAAGTGGAATAAGCACGGTGTTTGAAAACTTAGTGCCATTGTTGTTGAACCACTTAACTTAAGTTTTGTGCCATGTACAGTTGTACACACGTTGAAAAACAAATAAGTAAATAAAACATCTTCATTTAGTTCGTTAGCAAAAGTTCGAAAAAAATCGTCTTGGTTCATTCATTCGTTCGATGCGAACACAACGACACTCATGTGAAATGTAAGTGAGTGTTTGTTGCATTTAAGTCGGCTTGTATGCTTTGAAAATTTTAATTAATTAGCGTTCAATTCAAATAAACTTAGTGCGTATACCACAGAGAAATTGAATGTAGCTCGAATGGGAAAAACTTGGTGGCTGCTGCATTGTGCTCTTTGTTTTTGGTTCGAACAACAGCGCATCAAGATACAATTAGCACGAAAAGTAGCTGCATGCTAGTCGTATGATACTACCACCTCGATTATATAGATATATCCAGAAAAGTTTTTCAAACCTTCCATAAGGTTATTCATTAAAAATGTGAGCTATGTACTTGCACTATCAAGTGAAGACATTTGATGAACCATTCCATGTTATGCTCGATCGAAAGAAGATGCAAATTTCAATCGTTCACCCTTTGTTGCCATGAAGAGAGTATTTCTTCATGTTTGAGTGGGTGGATGCTGTTGCGCATTTCAAGCACGACTGAATTATTTAATTGAAAAATAAAACGGCAAAACGAGTTCTCTCTGTCATACAAACAAATGACAGTTAATTTGAGTGTATATGGAATAGACACATGTTCCATTTTGAAAGGAGTTCGCTTCAGTAGCATCTATCGTTGTGTTTTTGTTGCAATTTTCTTCGTTTTGTACTTTAATTTTGAAGCCGACATTGTCGGAAATTACGAGAGAAAAAAATATATATGCAAATTATTTGAATTAACAGCATTCGTAAATGTTTGCTTTGGCGCTGTTATCATAAATGAGCAGGGAAAAAATGTTGTTTATTTGTTTGTTTGTACCACGGCTGGATGTTGCATGCTATTAATGTTGTTTATCAGATGTCTTTTTCCCGGTCCCTTCTCTCCGTCTTCATGTTTATTTCATATTTATAACATATTACAATTCGTGCGCCTCATCAACATATCCAAACAATGCACATACTCACAAACTCTTTAACAAAGTTAATTTTTGTTAAGCGTTCTACATCATTTATTCGTGTCATGCTTCATTATTTTAATATTTTGAGACTAACTCGATCTCTCACTCTTTTTTTTTTGTTAAATACGAAATACACTTACCGCGTTGCGTTCATATTTCATTTTGCGCTATAATATCTCAAGATGGATAAGAAGAACGAAAACGAATTACGTTTAAAATTTTCATTCACGCCAAAAGACGCATTTTAAATTCATTTTCAGATTAATGCAGTGTCCGGTTTATCTACAAAGAACAATGCTCTGTTCATTAGTTGATTAAGTTTTTTTTATTCACAGTGACACTAATCTGTCATTTTCAACGCATTAAAATTCAGACAATTTTTCTTTCAGGCCACAATGGGTACATTGTGCGCACCGGTAATTACATGGCATCATTTCTCGCTCAACTTTTAATCAAAACCAATTCATTATGTGAAACTTTTTATTTGTTCTCACATGACCCAATTAATGCTGCAGATAAATTTTAACGTGCACAAATTTGGATACATTCGTATATCCGACATTGAATTGGTTTCAGAAGTGTATAATAATTTTGGATTGAATTACAGGAACGGAAAATACATATTCTGTGAAATGGATAAATCAGAATCTCTCTCTCTCTCTCTCTCTCTCTCTCTAATTATTTGTACTGCTTCACTATGCGTGTATGCTTTGAACTCTTGAAAAACAATTAAGCGCTTCATTTTAACCGATTTGAACAAACCAACTGCGGTTAAGCTGAATTTCCAATGCAGTAAATGTATTTAAAATACAACATGCCCGAAATCAAATACACTTTTCACCATACGTTTAATCATGCCAAATTCTAACTACGAATCAAATTAAGGCAAACAAATAAAATCCATTCAGTTACAAACATTTCACTATTGTGGAATGTTCATTGTTGAGGAATAAAGTACGCATTGCCTTTCTCTATTGAAGTGTTAGAAACAATCATCAAACAGAAATGCGCGAAAGTTAGGTACACATCTATTGTAGTCTTACATGTGAAACAAAAGGAAAATTT